CGATATTTGAAATTTCAACAATATACGAACCAGGAGGAACTCCCGACACCACAAATGAACCGTCACTCCTGCAACACATATCTTCATTTTCCTTGCACCAATAATTCTTCTTTTACAGCAATTTTGCAAGTGGAGCGCATATGACTACACTCTAAGCGGCTTTCTGTGCAATGCTTTTCGAAACTGGCCCACAGTTAATTCCTTGCATGCCTGTCATAAGCAGCACATGGCCAAAGGAACTGTTGAATATGATTCAATACACTTTACTCCGATAGAATAACACTAGTACAATGGGGAAATACATGTCAGGATTATTAAGAAGCTGATCAGTACGCGATGCAAATTGCTTTTTTCAGAGCAACTGCAAAAATATTGCCACATGTTCTGATGGCGAAAAGCTGTGTTACGATAAAACAGCAATTGATCGAAGTGTTAAAACTGATAATTAAGTGTTAAAAGCCTACTGCGGTCATGGAAAGGACCAAGTAAGTCTAACCGCATCCTTATCAGCTTTCGATAAGTCAAATCGCAATACTGAATGATAGAAGATGATTTACTCAGATGCTCTGACTAGCTGCCATTTTATCGCCAGGCATTTTCGCGTTATCAGTACAGTGTATCAAACAACAGAAATAGTTACCAACTAATTAAGACCAACAAATTTGAAGGCATTTTTCCTCACACATTTTTGCTCATACATCCACAATTTTTGAACATACCGTTTCATAAATCCTGTAACGAAAATTGTTTCATCTAATGGCCAGTTTACTACTGGTAATCGTGGCGTTCCAAACTATTTATGGCGATTCTGGTGTTCGTTTCCCTGCTCCCTTCTTTGTCCTTCTAAACAGCCGTACTCACTGCAATAACGTCCCATCTGCTTTCTGCTTCGACTTTATTCCACCAATCAGAGATCCTTCTCTATGCCTCCAACTATGCATCATTTGCACAACATATTGGAAAAAAACTCAAATTTTCCTTCAATCTCAATAGATGCTGCAATTTTTCAAGTTTTTGGAACCGCTTTCTTCCCAATGTTCCTCGGAAAAGGAATAATGGATCTACCTCCACCATCTCTTACGCGGCTACCAACAATTTAAGTACGCCTCTCCAAAACGGTCAATCAGTCGTAGCAAGTGGTATGTCAGGAGTGGCAAGGGTATGTTAATGATATCTTCATATCGTATGACTTTGCCAGAGCGCTGGACACCGTTTACAAAGGAACTCAGAACACTCTGATCGTCCTCGATATCCCCTATGTGGTTGTAGTCAATACGCTAAACAGAACCAGTGAAGTATAAAAAAGAACGAACCGTACAAATCCAACATGCTCACCATAATTCACCAGCACACGACTCAGACTTGGCCTGATATCTCCGGAGCCAAATGATTCCGGGACAGTTATCTGTCCTTCGATTTTGAAACCCGACCTAGAAATTTCATCAGCGACTTCTGCAGCCGCATTTCCCTGCACGAACAAAAGCCATGCCACGAATATCATGATCTGCAAAATATATATTCAGAGGGCAATTAAAAATAGCACAAAATCACTCCGACGTTCAAAAAAAAAAAAATAATTGGCCAACGCAAGGGCTGCCCGTGCGAAGATGAGTTTTTTGCATAGTTCCCCGCAATTTTTGTCGCTACCAGCATCTGTTTTTGGCAAATCCTTCTAGCAAAATAATTGGCCAACGCACGGGCTGCCCGTGCGAAGATGCGTTTTTTGCAGAGTTCCCCGCA